TTTACAATATACAGTTTGAGCAGCAAAAAAAAAAAACAGCATTAAGTTTGTGTTCAGTTTTAGCTTCATTTGAAAATGTAATGAGAAATGGCAAAATGTGAATTTTTTTTTTTTTCTTTAAGTAAACAGTAAAAAAAAGTATAATCAGAATAATCGTTTCATACTGTTTAATGTGAATTTGGGAAGACTCCATGATTGTTCATTTAGTCAAAATTACAATTCTGCTAAGTGCTGTGTGGTAAACATGCGAACAAGCACACAAATGATTCGGAAACGGTACTTTGTCTTCCAAAATATCTTGCATCTCTGCATAATGCAGTCTAGCACTTCTTGGGCTGCGATGCTGAATAGCCTTTCGCAGGCCTCTTGGAGGTAAAGTAGTCCATGTGATCCTTCCCAAATAAGTTAGTACAACATCATCACTTTCCTCCTGACTGCTTTCCTCACTATAACACTATTTGTTCACTGTAGAAATTAAATATAGGTTCACAGATAACAGCGCGCGAGTCCATATTTTCGCATCTTCTTTCGTGTTTGAAATCATTTGAATGTGTAAATTGGCAAGACAAAACACATCTAAATGATAAACTTTCACTCTGGTTAAACTTAGCAGTTAATCCGCATGCGTACCGAACCGTGGGGCCTGGCCCGTATGGATCACGGATCAACTGTGATCCGTTGCACCCCTATTAACAACTAATAATTAATGAACACACTTATCATCATGATTGTATCTTACCAGAGATCGACAAAAATCCTAATCCAGTAAGTAAACATGTCCCTGTCCCCAAAAATGTTGGTACTCAATAGCATTCCCCTCCATGTTGTCTTATACCCATTCAGATTGTGGCATCATCCTTTGTCCAAGTTGTTTTCAATTTTGGAAGAATCGCGGCTGCGATTAACTTAAGTTCGCTTAACAAAAAGATTCTTTATTCCCACCTGTAAAGCATCCATCAGAGGCTTGCAGTACTTCAATGGCAACTTGACCTGGTGGTCACGTTTGACGGTCAGTTGGAAGTAGCCACCTAGTAGCCTCTGGGCATTTGCTTCTGCTTGCAAGATGTTGGTTGCCTGGGCGACTGGGCTCATGGCAGCAGCATACTCTGTGAGGAATGCAAGCTCATCTGGATTAAACCTGTAAAACAACAACACTGTTAACACTAGAAATATTCATCTTATTCAACATAAAATTGCTGGATGAGTAATTAACTAAAATTGACCAATGATAAGTTGGGAATGCACTTAGTGTCTAAGGGGCTGTTTACACCTGGCCACTTCATGCGTTTTCTCAGATCGGATAGCTATCTGATTTATCAAAACGATTCCATTTACACCTGGTCACATAAATGTGTTTCTGCAAAACGGATATAAATCCGCTTAATTCAGATTTAATGGAGTGCACGTCACCGAAAGCAACAGATATCATGAGCTGCATTTTATTGATCATCAGCTAATTTCAAAATCAAAGACGGCAATAAGAGACAGCGGCAACAGCCCTGGTAAGATCATTTTGTTTCTTTACTTTTAATGAAGATGATTGTGTGTTACGCGTCTGCGACTTACTTTCACTTTGTTTTGCGATAGTTTGTGGCGCGTTGGCTTGATGAATAGATGCTCATCTGCGGTAATGCGTGTTGCAGTAGCGTCGTCATATCTGACTATAACATGACATATAGCCTATATAACACGCTCTCACACGTTTATTTTTTAGCATTTTTGGGAGGAGTAAAATTTACATATGTGGTTTCAACAACCAGATGCATTGACACTTGTCCAGTTTCGTCTGGAATGCGGCCCAGACCTCCTCCTGAAGTGGTTTGAGCGATCAGATTCAAATCCGTCTTGAATGCGTTTTGGAGGGCATTTACACCTGGTCTTTTCACGATCGGATAGCTATCCGATCACAGACAACGCATGAAGTGGCCAGGTGTAAACAGCCCCTTTGAAAGGGTTGGAAAACTCTTTGACAGCAGTCTTTCCACTGCCTTGAACAAGGAGTTCCATCTAGTAGCATTCAGTGCAGCAGCTGGAAGAAGCAAGCATCTTCAGGGAAGCATCTTTTTTAAAGCAACACCAAGGAACTTTTCCTCAGCGGTCGCCCTACAGGTTGAAGCGGAATTGTCCCTTACCGCCGTCGTAAATAATTTAGCCTACCGCAGCCTACGGTCACACACGCACGCTCGCTGTTTATCCAGCATCGGCTTTGGAATCAACAATGGCAGACATCCCAACCTGCAAGAAGTCATTTCAGGGAGGTATATCTTGGTGACTGGATTGGGGGGGGGGGGGTGGCGGGTTGACTAGCTTCCGTGAGGCACACTCGCAAGGTCTTTCGCTCTCTCCCTCTCTGCCGTGCTCGCGCTATGTATGTTATGCGCGCAGTATGTTCTGTCTCGCATGCGCGCTCTAGATTCCGGCAGATTTGAACTAATTTGCGGGCATCAGGGAGACGCTATAGACTTGGGATGTCTGCAATGGCCATAGACAATTTGAGGAAGTGGTGGGGCAAGTGACGTATGCCGTAAAGCAGTCGAGTTTTGTAGTTCTTTTTGTGCTCGGGTTACTACCCGAAACCCGAAGTTACATAGTGCGAGTAAAAGCGATACAGACCACGTCAGGCTATGGCAGATGTGTCATTTAACCTATTATAAGTCGATGTACCATCACAAGGGTCTTGGAAATATATTATGAAGGTTGAAAAGTTCCATAGTGTTGCTTTAAGGGGAAAATCACATTGAATGTGTTTTTGTTCTTAAAAACACACGGCGCATAGTTACTAGTAAAGAGCTGCAGCGCTGATAAATGGAAAAGAAGGTGAGCATGAGATGCGGGTTAACGGTCAGACGTCCATCTAGCACGTTTACATAGAAAAATGTTTTAAAGCTGCAGAGCTGACAGATTGATCTGACAGAGCTTTGTAATTGATAATAATAATAATTTGTTGCATTTATATAGTGCTTTTCTCTGGTACTCAAAGCGCTTTACATATGGAAGTGGGGAATCTCCTCAACCACCACTAATATGCAGCATCCACGGCAGCCATAGTGTGCCAGAACTCCCCCCACACACCAGCTTATTGGTGGTGAGGAGACAGAGTGATGAAGCTAATCAGATATATATATATATATATATATATATATCAGTAAATATGGGGATGATTAGGAGGCCATGATGATGGACAGTTGCCAATGGGCAAATTTGGCCAGGATGCTAGTGTTAACACCCCTACTCTTTTTCGAAGGACATCCTGGGATATTTTATCACCACAGAGAGTCAGTTTAACGTCTCATCCGAAGGCCGGTACTTTTTGGCAGTATAGTATTCCCAGTATAGTAATCTTGTGCTTTGTTCACACATAGCATCGTAATGGTAATTTACTGATAATGTTACTAATTATACCAAAAAAATTGCCAGCTGATTTATTGGTATTTTTATCCTGTTATTTACCAGTAAACACTATGTGTAAAAGGGACTATTGTCTTCAGAAAGCTTGATTTTCATTATAATTTAATGCTTTTCTATGTTGTAATTCTTTTTGTCCGAACCAACTTTCAAAAACGAGGAAAAACACAAGCCAACAATATTAGCAGTAGAGTCTCGAGTCATTTTATGCCTTACACACAAAACAAATTATCATACTCAAAAATCCTATTATTTGTATTATATAGACAAAATATATGATCTTTCCATCATCTGTTTTGTTTCTAATAAAGGTCCTAAGATTTAAGGTATAATGTAAATCCAGCTTGTTACTTTATAATCCATTACAATGTATAAAACGTCCTGCCAACACAAGTAGTTATTTTCACTACAATCGCTAGTGGACGCAAGATGGAAATCCAAAGGAGCCATGCAGATACATACACCACAGTATAATAATGTGACTATCCTTTTTGTGGATGTGATGTCTTATAAAATTTGATGTTGTTGTTCTGGTGTCTTTATTTTCCCACATTCCTTGCATCTAGTCGATTTGACATGTTAATAAACCCAAATGAAAGAACATAGGTCTATGGCACGGTTTTTTCCCGTCATGTTTCATGGGACTTTCATTATGACATTTCGAAGTTTACACAGAATATACGGACATGCGTAACAAAATTCTATGATAAGGGTCCGAACTACCGTGACAAGTAGGGAAATATATGTGACGCAGATATTATAAAACCATTAAAAAAAACACATTCTTTTTTTATTATATCCGTGTCTGAGTCTCTAACTCGACTGCCCATCTCTGAGTACCACTATACCAAACAGTAGAGTAACCAGAGTAGTACAGAAGTTAAAGCAGAAATGTAACCGCAGAAAACGTCCATGAGATGATGGGAGACAAGCCCAAAACCCAGTTGAAAGTGTCTTCATTGGCAGAATGGCCATCTTTGGCTGTGGATTCTTCCCAGTGTCACATAATAGTGGTTATATGCACGCAGTATCCTCACAAATGGGATTTTCAGCGGTTCCTTCTAACAGCAAGAGTTAGATCGTAGTGCTGGGTGGACAGTGCCACAGATCAAACAAGGCTTTCAGTTAGCAAGCCCTTTCACAGCAGATTTACGATTCCTCTGCAAAGAGCTATTGATTATGTGTACTGCTAGCAGGAATGAGCTGTCACTTCAGACTGTGCCTGATATGGAGTCATCTGACTGTTACGCTCAATCCGGTCGAGATATGTTGCCAATCATAGCGTTTACAGTAAAAAGGGACCTATTACAGTCAGAACTGGTCAGACTTGTATTTTTGCTGGTTTTCATTGTATTTTTGCTGGTAAGTGATGCCTGGCATCCTTTTGCCACTATTATTTTGTAGTTCTAGAGGATATCAAAAAATCAGGTGAATACAACAACATGTGGGTATCAGATAAAAACTACCATTACTAACTTTTTCTGTTGTTTACTCCACTGGATGACTTAACTTTATTGTCCTGCTTTGTGTTTATTTAGTAGAATGGTTCCTTCAAGCTTGACTGTCGGCTGACCTGTGACTACCCTGTTTTGCAGGTGTGCATATGCTCAAAATGAGTGCTGCAGGAGAAAATGCCCTTGACCCCAACACCCCAGAGTCATGGAAGAGGAAGGGCTCTCCATGTGATACCTCTGGTCCCAGGTGAAGTATGAGATCATATTTTAGTCTTTCTTTCAGTTCACATTACTAGTGAGTATTTTATAAGTTTTCTTTGTTTGTTTACAAAATCCAAAAACCATAAATACGATATTTAGAAATATCTAATATCTAATAATATTTATTCATTTATTTAATTAGTCAAATATACCGTATATATATATATATATATATATATATATATATTTTTTTTTTTCTAAGTTTTATTGGCTTTTACCAGTGTTATAAAGGGCAGTGGGATGGGGAATGCGATCAGGACATAGCCCAGACTGGATTCAAACCCCAGTCCCTGTAAACACAACAGTTCTGTCATGAGCGATGCATGATATAGGTCCAACAGTTGTTTTTAGGTGTAACATGGCTGGCCAGCGTGTTTTTTTTTTTTTTTTTTTTTTTTTTTTTAAAGGTTTCCTTGTGTCAGGTTTGGTTAGAGGAAAACAGGTCTTTCTGGCTGAGTGATACTCTTCCATAGGGCCTTGGTGGGGCTGATTTAACTGCCTGTTTCTACAGCAACCCCACACAGCGGCCTGACCTGTGTATGCAGCGCGCCTGCGCACAACCTTGGGAAGCCGCTGACCTACTTTCTTTGCTGTCTTCTCCCACACACACATGGTATCATGCGCTAACACTTGCAAGTCATTCGTACGTACGTTCACTCAGAAGCAGCACAACCTCAACAGATAAGCACTTTCCTCCATCCTTTCATACTCCAATGCCAGCCATTGGTCATGTTGGAGCAAGGGAGAGCTGATTGTTAGTCAAGGCAGAGCTAGATTGTTAGCTGATTGTTACTTCGGTCATTTCTGACCGGAATTTTTTTAATACATTTTTTTATATAAATCGTAGCTTCATCGAAATGGTACGAAACTTGGTGACTTTTATGGTACTTGGTATATGAACACACAAAAAAATTGGGGACATGATTTGAATAGTCTAAGTGGTCATAAAAAAAATAGTCACACTCAGGACCTTCGGGTCAAAAATGACAGCCATAGGAAATGATTGGGAAATTGGCAAAAATATGAAAATACAGAGTTTTTTTGTGCGTACAATCTACAAATCAGCCACGATGCAGGAAAAAAAAAGCACACAACAGTGAAGGGGTGAATCTCTAAAACATCAAGAGTGCAAAACAGACAAACACACTCTCACACACACATACTTATACACACAAAAACACACGCACACACAAATGAACGTGTCATTGCAAAAGCTAATTTTGGAAAATGTGTGAAATAAAAGCAATTATTCATCAATGTAAGGAATAAAAAGCGCACAGCAATGAAAGCATGAGACTGTAAGCCATCAAAGAAATTTCTGAACAAATAGGCTGTTCCCAGAGTGCTGTATCAAGGCACCTCAGTGGGAAGTCTGTGGGAAGGAAAAAGTGTGGCAAAAAAACGCTGCACAACGAGAAGAGGTGACCGGACCCTGAGGAAGATTGTGGAGAAGGACCGATTCCAGAGCTTGGGGGACCTGCGGAAGCAGTGGACTGAGTCTGGAGTAGAAACATCCAGAGCCACCGTGCACAGGCGTGTGCAGGAAATGGGCTACAGGTGCCGCATTCCCCAGGTCAAGCCACTTTTGAACCAGAAACAGCGGCAGAAGCACCTGACCTGGGCTACAGAGAAGCAGCACTGGACTGTTGCTCAGTTTTGCATGTCATTCGGAAATCAAGGTGCCAGAGTCTGGAGGAAGATTGGGGAGAAGGAAATCCCAAAATGCCTGAAGTCCAGTGTCAAGTACCCACAGTCAGTGATGGTCTGGGGTGCCATGTCAGCTGCTGGTGTTGGTGCACTGTGTTTTATCAAGGGCAGGGTCAATGCAGCTAGCTATCAGGAGATTTTTGGAGCACTTCATGCTTCCATCTGCTGAAAAGCTTTATGGAGATGAAGATTTCATTTTTCAGCACGACCTGGCACCTGCTCACAGTGCCAAAACCACTGGTAAATGGTTTACTGACCATGGTATTACTGTGCTCAATTGGCCTGCCAACTCTCCTGACCTGAACCCCATAGAGAATCTGTGGGATAGTGTGAAGAGAAAGTTGAGAGACGCAAGACCCAACACTCTGGATGAGCTTAAGGCCGCTATCGAAGCATCCTGGGCCTCCATAACACTTCAGCAGTGCCACAGGCTGATTGCCTCCATGCCACGCCGCATTGAAGCAGTCATTTCTGCAAAAGGATTCCTGACCAAGTATTGACTATTGAGTGCATAACTGAACATAATTATTTGGAGGTTGACTTTTTTTTTTGTATTAAAAACACTTCTTTTATTGGTCGGATGAAATATGCTAATTTTTTGAGACAGGGATTTTGGGTTTTCATGAGCTGTATGCCAAAATCATCAGTATTAAAAGAATAAAAGACCTGAAATATTTCAGTTGGTGTGCAATGAATCTAAAATATATGTAAGTTTAATTTTTATCATTACATTATGGAAAATAATTAACTTTATCACAAAATGCTAATTTTTTGAGAAGGACCTGTATATTAAAATCCACAACCTGAAAAAAATAGGCAAATATGTTCAAAACAACTAGAATTCACAAGCCTTTCTACAGAGAGATGTAAATCCATCTAGTTGTTACAATATGATATTGCATGATAATTATGCTCACTACTTCCACCAGATGGCACCAATCTGATTTAAAAAAAAAAAATCTATAGGCCTAGTCTCTAATTTAACCTGAAATACAGCATTAATTAAAAAAATAAAATAAAAAAATAAAAATATATATACATTTTCTATTATATTCAATGGGGAAAATGGATCATAATTATTGCATAAATATGAATTATTCTCATAAAATTCTCAAGAAACTTGACAAAAATAGTCTTTGAGAATCTCTTATTATATATTAAAATCCACAACCTGAAAAAAATAGGCAAATATGTTCAAAACAACTAGAATTCACAAGCCTTTCTACAGAGAGCTGTAAATCCATCTAGTGGTTTCAATATGATATTGCATGATAATTATGCTCACTTCTTCCAACAGATGGCACCAATCTGCTTTCAACAATTTTTTTCTATAGGCCTAGTCTCTACTTTAATCTGAAATACAGCATTAATTAAAAAAATTATAAAAATTATATATATATATATACATTTTCTATTATATTCAGTGGGAAAAAATTGATCATAATTATTGCATAAATATTAATTATTATCATAGAATTCTCTCAAAACACCAAAGAAAAAATATTATTGAACAAAAATACATTTCATTGATTTTACTGAAAGAAAAAAAAATTGATTTCAGGGGTCCGGTCACTTATGACCGTGAAGGTCCTATGTGTGACTGGAAAACGAAGTACCCCAGAGGGTTAAGAGTTGTGTATTGAAATGAGCATTAATTAATTCCTAATTTCTACTAAGCAGATGATCCATGTTATTTTGATTTGTTATGAACCAGGCAGATGTATGTTTGTTTGTTTATTCTTAATTATTTATTCCCCTAGATGACTGAGCCTTGATGAATTAATAAATGAATTATATAGAGATGTACCGATCGACCGGCCAGAGACCGGAATCGGACGATTTTCCGCATGACCGGTAACCTGCCGGTCAGTCTCACATCTTTCCGATTCCGAGCCGATCCGTTTTGTTGCCAGCGGCACAGGCAATGACTTCAGCTGCGCGTTCTCACTCTTTTCTCTCTGACCGCGAAGTGACACACACCCACTTCCTGTCACCCACTCGTCTCATTCGCTCCGGTTAAATAATTTGACTAATTCACGCAGGTCAGTGGTGCGAAAACCTAAACCGCACGCACCAGCGCTCAAGCCGCCTCTCAGTCTCAAGCAGTGTGAGTCGCAAGTACCAAAATGAGTGCCTTACTGCGCTTAAAGCTCCAGTCCGTAACTTTTTGGGGTTAAAAATGATCCAAAATAATTTTTTTAGCAAGTACATAACCAGCCAGTGTTCAAAACTATCTGCTTGCCTTAGCTCGATTCAAAGCGGTAAGCTTGTAATAATGTTTTTAATTCCAGTGCTACTGGTGGATTTCCGCGGGAGATTCGAGCATGTCTTTGCATCATTACGTCACATCTGTACACATAAAGAAGGAGTCTCGGCTACATCCTCACACGCAATATAGGCTATATTGCGTGTGAGGATGTTGGAGGTGGAGATTTATAGCATTTTCTCACAGCACTTGATATAATTAAACTTATTAATTTGATGGCTGATCCAGAATTAATTTGTGAATATTTTAAATGTTTAATAAAGGGGCAAAAAGTCATAAACAAAAATCTGAAAATACGTCAATATTTATTTTTTTGCGCAGCACTTGGTGTGACTACAGTTCAAATTAAAATTTTGGTGTTTTAAAAATACAACCGTTCATTTTTCGTTTTACGGGTTGAAGGAATACTCCTTCAAGGTCCGAAGGTCACAAAGTTGTTGCAAACCTGTATGAGTTTCTTTCTTCTGCTGAACACAAAGCAAGATATTTTGAAGAACGATTGGAACTTTGGCACCATTGACTTCCATAGTATTTTTTTTTTCTACTATGGAAGTCAATGGTGCCAAACAACTGTTTGGTTCCAATCGTTCTTCAAAATATCTTCCTTTGTGTTCAGCAGAAGAAAGAAACTCATACAGGTTTGCAACAACTTGAGGGTGAGTAAATGATGACAGAATTTTCATTTTTGGGTGGAGTATCCCTTTAAAAAAGGAAAAACGAATGGACGCAAAAGTGCACGGATCAATTGGGAATTTTAAAGCTTGTTAATGATTAACTTTAAATCTGTTGGTAGCTTTAAGTACTGAAGTACTGAATACTACCTGTATTAAAATTTTATTATTTTTTTAATTGTATTGTTTGAATAAAGGGTGGCAGTCTTTCATAATCAACTGTTGTTGTGGACTATATACTGGAGAAGTATTGTTTCTCCATTTGAGGGAGATGTTTTTAGGTTGCTAATTGAGCAAAGTGCTGCCATATATTTTATTAGTATTAGTTCAAGAAAAATGTTTAAAATATTGGATTGATATCGGTATCGGCAAATAGCCAAAGCTGCGGCATTGGTATCGGAAGTGAAAAAGTGGTATCGGGACATCCCTACTGTATATCCACGTGAAAAACTTAAAGCCTTGTTTATTCTTATATCTATAGTTCTTTGAAAGAAAATCGGAATCGGCAAAAATCGATATCGGCAGGTTGAACTTACAAAAAAATAGCAATTGCAATCAGTGCATCTCTAGAACTATATAAATATATAATATAAATAAATAAATGCTTGTTAATATATATATATATATATATATATATATATTACATATCACTTACATTGTAAAGTACAGTGCTTGTTTAGAAGTGAGTGCTAAAGCAGAGTTAAGGCCCCGATATAGTCACGCCTGTTCTTTTTCGTTCTTCGCTTTGTTTGAAATACGTGAGCAGCGGTATACTGTTAGGGAACATCCCGATGACGCCTACACTGCTGAGAGCGGCGTTTAAATTAATATGTAAATGTGTGCTGCGCTTTCCTCTCAATAACAAAATAAATACACTAACTAAAATGACAGCGGTGAGAAAAGAGCAGTTAAGGAAGCATCTGAACATAGCAATGTGGACATGTTTTCACGAGCTCTGCAATTTGGCACTCCAGTCAACTCAAGTCACATCACATTTATTTAGATAACACTCTATAATAGATTGTTTAAAAGCAAGCAGCTTTACAGTATTAAACATGAAAAAACAGTGTAAGTTTTTATTAAATTGAACAGAACTCTCCAGCATATTCATGTTTTCACTAGCAAATTTCTGACTTCGACAGACTGTACTAAAGAAATGAAGTGAAGATTTCCACATCAAAGAAGGCGGAGCCTCAGAGCACACCCACCTATTATGTAATCTCCACGGACCAATGGTAGTTCGAAGGTGTTTATCAGCCAGAGCGAGCTTTTTTGCAAAGTTCGCTTTGGCGAGCTGTTTCGAATTCCTGAAACGAACACAAAATGAACTTCGTTTTAGACTGATTTTTTTCCGAAAATGTCACCCAAGTTCGTTCTTTGAATCTGCTTAAAGCATATCGCGTCTTTTATGTATTTATTTATTTTTTATTTACATATACACTACCGCTCAAAAGTTTGGGGCCGGCAAGATTAAAAAAAAAGTATTGTATGCTTGCCAAGGCTGCATTTTATTTAATCAAAAATACAGTCAAAACGAATATTGTGAAATGGTTTTACAATTTAAAACAACTGCTTTATTTTAAAATGTAATTTATTCGTGTTGGTGAATTTTCAGCAGCCATTACTATAGTCTTCAGTGTCGCATGATCCTACAGAAATCCTTCTAATATGCTAATTTGGTGCTCAAGAAACATTTCTTATTATCATCGATGTTGAAAACAGTTGTGCTGTCCTATACTCTGTATGCATTAGCCAGTTGAGCAAGGATTGTTGAAGAATAAACAGTGGTCACTGAAACTCCATAATTCTGCGTCTTTAGAATTTTTGTGAAATTTATTTCAGTTGCTTTTAAAACAGTGCATGCAATTCTTGTTTTTGACTGGATGATAAATGGCCTCAGATCTGAAGCCTTTGCATTCCATTGATATCTAACATTACTTCACCATAGCCCCCTGACCATCTGTCTCTCTGTCCTATTCAGCCTCTCTCTCTTTCTGTTTCTCTTCTCAGCTTGATAACCCATGTGCAACATAAGCCTTTGAGGAATGCCTTCTAGTGCAAGGACTGTATACACCCCAACCCTTATTAGCTCTACAATGATACATCTGTGTAAAAGTGTGTGTTTTAGCCTCGCTCTGGTTCCAGGCCACCCACAGTTTGTCCTTGAGTGCACCTATAGTCTCCTCTCACCCAGCATTCTCCCTTTTAACTGCAGAATCCTCTGCTTCTATCAGGTGGCAGAACGCTGAGACCGCTAAAGACAGGGTTCAGGGGCTGTTTGTGATCATAGTGCTCTCTGAGCATCATGAATTATTCAGACCCCAAGTCCTTGCAGAATGCCCACTTAGTCTCTGTGCCAAACTTTACCACTTCAAGGCTTTGTCTTAAAAACGTCATAACATAGACCAGCAGCAGGTTGGCTTTTTCTTTTGTTTATTTTTTTCCCCTTTAAGTGCTGCTGGTTGTCATGTGCCAGCAAAGGAAGGGAGAGCAGTTAGACTCTTTAAAGCTGCAGTCCGTAACTTTTGGCGCTCTAGCGGTTAATAAACAGAACTACATGTGTCTTGCGGAAGTACATTATGTAGCCGGAGCTACTTCTCTTTGTTTATGTCTATGACGAGTCATGCAGGTACTAGCCCGTTATATATTTTATATATAAATAAATATTAATATAGAATATTTTATAGAAAATATTATTAAAATATTGAATATTTACATTTTAAATATAGTTAAATATGCCTAATTGACACTGTTGTTTAAAAATTTGGGGTTGGTAAGATTTCTTTTTTTTTTTATTAACATTGCTCACCAAGGCAGCATTTATATATATAAAAAAAGTGATATTGTGAAATATTATCATTTATTATATTTAAAAATAAATAATATTTTTTTGTAATAACGCAAGTAACTTTTAATCAATTTAATGCATCATTGCTGAATAAAAGTATTATTTATTTATTTTTAAATCCTACTGACCCCAAACTTAGTACTGTATTTTGTAATAGATCATATTTTATGTACATTTAATATTTTATTGTTTTCGTTTACATTGTAATAAGATACAGTGCTATAGACTTTAATCTTTCAAGTGAGTGCTAAAAAATGTACAATTCTTTTTCTTTTCTTTTTTTCATGTTTGTGTGTACGTATGGTAGTGTGGAGAAGCGACGGCGGGAGCTGGAATGCCGCTACATTGACGAACTGGCTGAGTTACTATCGGCCAACATGAGTGACATTGCCAGCTTGAACGTGAAGCCAGACAAATGCCACATCTTAAAGAGCACCGTGGACCAGATCCAGCAGATCAAACGGCGCGAGCAGGGTGAGTAGCCAGTGTCCGTGCTTTTCCTTTGGGGCTGTGTGTGGGCTGCGTACAAGTTTTTCCATTCACTTCACAGTACAGACAGGAAATTGACACTGGAGACGATTTGATAGTTCAGTTAACTGCAACAATTTTCGTCAGGGTTTTTCCTGCATTAAAAATATGTCCCGCCAAAGATTTATTTGATCATTTAATGTGCCGTTCTGCAGTACTGGTACCCGCTGATAGCTGTCTACTTTAAAACACTCCCCTTCAGCGTTGTGCTTTGTAGCTAATCACAGACATATCTGTTGCGAGCGGGAACACAATGGCCAATCAGATGTGTTTAAGTTAGTCAGAATCTGCAGTTTTTGTTCAGTGCGAGTTCTGCACGCTCGTAAATCCTTTCATTATAACCACCCAGACAGCAACATAGTGTCGACCCAGATCCGGCCCACTTTTGGTACACGTGGAATCCACACGTACCAGAAGTGGGTCGGATCTGGGGATGACACTATGTTGCTGTCTGGGGAACAAAGGATAAACACAATGTCAATAAGGCTATGCTCAGATTGCAGGGGAAATTTGGCCCAAATCCATTTACCCTATTTTCCGCACTATAAGGCGCACTTAAAAGCCTTTAATTTTCTCAAAAAACGACAGTGCGCCTTATCCGGAGCGCCTTATATATGGATGGTGAACACACGTTCACCAAGACGGGGAGACAGCGCCGGGCGACTTACGCCACTATCTGCCAATGGATCGTGGATGCCTGGGCTGATATATCAGTCTCAACTGTGATCCGAGCTTTCACGAAGGCAGGAATAATCTCTTTATTCAGCCGGCTCACATACCTGTATTTACTTCCTGTTTTCGGCCGAAGTCCACAGTAGTTGATTGTCGAGTTCGCGCGCGCGCGATCAAACCTCCTCCGTGTGTTCAACATCTGATCCGGATGAACTATCCATTTGAGCTGATATTCTCAGAACACCACACAGCACCGCCATCGGCTGACAGCTGACAGTCTGAGTCTCCACTGTTGCTTAGTTACCAATGATCGCGCACGCGCACTCGACAATCGCCTACTGTGGACTTCGGCCGAAAACAGGAAGTAAATACAGGTATGTGAGCTGGCTGAATAAACATCATTTTTATTCATGTCTTTCACATTTACTGCAGTCAGATTCACCGTGTTCACTCACATGGCTGTGCACTTGTAATGACACATTGTTAAGAGGCTAAAAGCAGGTTTAAAACTTGTCTTGTTTAAGTCAACAGGGTGCAAATTTTAAAAAGAGGATAACACGGTGTAGGCAACACCAGTTTTTGTCGTTGTTGTGTGTAGCCTACTGACAGCACTCCAAATTTACAAAAAATGAGCTCAATGTTAAAATTGACCAGAGTTTTCCGTTAACGTTTGAACAACGTTACCATGGGAGTGAACGGAGTTGTCAGAACGCTTAATAAAGTTTGACTTTATTTGACTGTTTTGTTGACATTTGTTGACATCTAGTGGATGCATAACGCAAACCCAGTCAAACGTTTGACTGCAGTATCTTATGCGCCTTATAATCCGGTGCGCCCTATATATGAAAAATGTTCTAAAATAGGTCATTCATTGAAGGTGCGCCTTATAATCAATCCGGTGCGGATTGATTATAAATCAATTTACCGCTCCCCGCTCCACTTCTCGCTCACTGATATCAGAAACACCTCTCCGTCTTCGTTCCCCAAGGAAATTGCGAATAAAGTATTTAAGTATGCTTTAAAATCTCAAAAAAATTCTCCTCCTCATAATATATAGGCATATTAAATAAAAAAATAAAAAACAACATTAGGAGAATAGTTGCAATGTGGTTTATTGGTTAGTGTGCAAACTTTTCCTATGATATGCTATGCTTATTACATGGTTATCAGCATTATAAGTTAAATATCATTGCTGCTTTTTGCAGAGCATATTTTGTTTGGAAAGAAGAAAATAACTACGTTTTCATCAGTTATTTTATCTACGGGTCGCTACATTTCTTACAGATTTCTGCTCATTCGAAATCAAATACCAACAGTACTGTAAGATTACATTTGTTTGAATGCAATGCATTAGTGAGAAAGCGATTGCGTGTGTGAATAAGTGTTACCTGTTTAAAATGTGCTTTCATCCGATCCAGCCTGATCTCATGAAAGTGCGTATCTATAGCACAAATTTTATTTCTTGTAGCATTTATACGGCAAAAATAGTTTTTGCATGCATAGCCTATGATAAGCAGTTTTCGCGTGCATACGATACGCACTTCATGGCGAGAACGCACTTCACACCCATTATCCTAACCAAGGGGTTTAGTGTGTTTCATTTGCACGCAAAAACTATTTTTTGGCATATAAATGGCACGAGAAATAAAATTGGTGCTATAGATACGCACTTTCATGAGATCGTGTTGCCCGATCATAATCAGTAGGCTTGATAACTATAACCTCCCGCAGCCACTCATGTCCATCGGCGTCATCATAACCTTCACATTTTCACACCTTCACAACCAGAGTGATCCATCTGTATCATGCTAGCGTAATGTGTTTAACGTGTGAATCCTTACTAAAAATGCAGTGCTATAATGAGCCGTTGGCATGAATTGTACTCGTGATGGAGCGGTAGTGGAGCGCTCTCGGAGCGAGTGAAAACCACGACGCTCCGACTTTTAAAAAATCCGCTCCGCACTCCATTCAAAATCACACCGCTCCACTCCGCTCACATACTCTGGATTTGGGCCACTTCCATATGTGGAACTAAATCCGATGCAGGTCAGATGTTTTTCAATGCGACCTCAGTCTGAACAGTCATATCGGAATTTGTGAAACTTTCTGTAGAGCAATATTCGTCACAATTCTGCTCTCATGGGAGTCGCTTCAAAGATTTTACATACAGTATCTGACGTCATCAAGACAGTGATGTGTCAGAATTCATAAGTATTACAGTGACAGCTCCATGTACAAGCAACAATGAGGGCTCATGTCATAAATGTTTAAAGGAGCTGTATGTAAGAAATGTATTTCAATTAATCATAAAATGGCCCTGATGTGTCTCTAGACATTAAGAAATTATGTTCATTTCAAATACTTAAATCACTGACAACAGTAGTACGGCCACGATATTGTCATTTAAAAAGTGAAGTTGCAGCCCTCAACTGATGTTGATGTTGTCATCTTGTGTTTTGGCCTGAAGCCCCACCCTCCACCTATCTACCAATCACGAAGTCAGTAGTGTTTCGGCATCCGGGTTGCCAGCTCTGCTCTAGTTGAAAGCTCCTTGTAGCAGCCTATGTTCCTGCTGGATCCTGCAGCCTATCTGGCAACCTCGAGTCAGGGGGGAGGGGGAGGGGATACACAGCTCTACAGTAATTTGAAAGTGATTGCAGTACCAATTTTGGCCACAATCTTACATACAGCTCCTTTAACACTGCTCTCTTTTTCCGCATCCTCTTTTTTATTATTTTTTTATTTTTATTTTTTATATTGCCTGAATGCCTGCGCTTAAATTCGCTGGCCTGGCAGCAGATCACACAATAAAAAAACACATAATCGCTTACTTTAATGTCCTCTGTGTTTACTTCCGTATGACAGCGTGCTGTGTGACGTCTTTTGTTCTTTTGCACATGCAGGTCAGTTCAGGACTATGATTTGTTCGCACTGGAATCTGATTTTGGCCATGTTTAAAACAACAATGTGCACAGCTATACAAAAAAAAATTGATCTGAGCAATAAATCGGAATTGAGCACTAAGGTGCGCACCAAGAAATATTTTTATTTATTGTCTGTTCTGGGATCACAGTTCACATGTGTAGGGTCCATTTTACTATGTGTGGATGATTGTGTTCGTCTGCCATCACCGAAGACCATTTTTGACCCAGGAAAAACCCTGTATAGTGCATATAGCACTTGATATTTGGTTTGTTGACATCCCTAATCTGATTAGAATTTGTGTTCTTTCAGTCATCTTAAAGACTAATAGGGGAAATAAACTGAAATGTGAAACACAACAAAAGGTTTTTATCTGGTTGTTGGACTGGCTGTAAATCATAGTGGTGAGAACGACATTGTTCCCTCGTCACTCCTTTTTTAGGAGCTTCTAAATTGGTTGCGCAGGGCTTTTAGTGATATATTTTTGGGGGGCCCAGAGGATGATTATTTGCTTGCCTTTCTGGTTTGTTTTAATCAGTAACTGGACAGAGCTCTCAGACAAAGCCATAAAATGAAGAGAACACATATTATGTCCAAGACACACTCAGTGGTAAAGTACATTTTTGAAGTTCTTTATTAAGAAATTATGACTCTTATTATGCAAAGATGCATGAAATTGATTGAAAGTACAGTAAAACATTTATAATGCTCAAAGAAAAAAAAAAACTCAGTTTTTTACATTTAAAATATTAAGCAGCACAGCTGTTTTCACGTTGATAATAAGAATGTTACTTGAGCACCAAATCAGCATATTTTTATAGCACTTTATACAATACAGATTCAGCATTACAGGGTTAAACAGCAAAATAATGATTCAATAAAATTAAACATTGCTGTAAAGAAAATAGTGTTATTATTCAACTGAAGTCATTTCAGTGCTGATACCAATTGTATCAAAATCAATACCATTGTAAAGATCATCAATTATTAAATGAGTTCAATTTGGCTATAAAGCAGTTCCTCAGAAAACAGTGATGTTATTATCCAGCTCCATTCAGTTCTCATCAAATAGAGTTAGTGTAGTCAGATCAATGATATTGTTGAATATTAGGTGCAAATGAAATCATTATCATCGTCATGGGAACTTGCATGGGCAATTTTGGAGCAATCACAGAAGAAAGAAAATAACAGGTTTGTAACAACAAGGGTGAATAAAGGATAACAAAATTTGGCTTAACTCTTCCTATAAGACGACATTTGGGATGTTTGGCCAGTCTAGTGTTGACCAATCATTAGGGGATGTTAGCTCTTGTCAAAGGTTGACGTCTGTGTTATGTTTAAAGTCAGATCTG